TAAAACGACGTCGTTTTCAGGGAAAACGCGTCATTTCAGTTTTAAAAAAATGATTTTGTCTCGCCGTTAACGGCGTTATTCGTTTGTGCCATTATGAATGTACAGTTATGGGATTATGAATGTACAGTTATAGCATTATGAATGTACAGTTATGAAATTATGAATGTAAGTTATAAAATTATGAACACGGAGCTCTGACATTATGAACTTACAATTATGAACATATAGTGATAAAATTATGAACATAGAGCTCTAAAATTGTGAACATCGAGCTTTGAAAATTATGATTTTACAGCTATTGCATTATGAATGTACAGTTACGGAATTATGAATGTACAGTTATGCAATTACGAATATACAGTTATGCAATTATGAATGTAAGTTATAAAATTATGAACACAGAGCTCTGACATTATGAACTTACAATATGAACATATAGTGATAAAATTATGAACATAGAGCTCTAAAACTGTGAACATAGAGCTTCGAAAATTATGAAGTTACAGTTATTGAATTATGAATGTACAGTTACGGAATTATGAATGTACAGTTATAAAATTATGAACATAGAGCTCTGACATTATTAACTTACAATTATGAACATATACTCCTATAACGAAGCGGTCTGAAATTTAAAAAAAAAAAAAAAAAAAAAAAAAAAAAAAAAAAGAAGATAACAGTACTGTTAGGCACTGTTATCGGTGTTCAGCATGGATGCTGGACACGGGTCCATAGTATAATGATTGTAAGAAGCCTATACCAACAATCTCTATTAACTAGTCTACACAGCCCAAATCAATAGTCCTTTTCTCATAATGAAAGCACACATGGAAGGGGTCACTACATGACATCTGAGCACAATGTGTTTGGCTTCATTATGCTCTTTATGCTTTAATAAAGCACAATCTGAACAACCCAATCTTAGACTTCCAATCTTGTCCACCGGAGAATTTAATACCGCATGTATCATTGGGCGGTTAACTAGCTTCTAAACAAACAATCTCCATACAATTCTCTACTACGGGTGTCTTTTAAGCCGCTGAGACCGGCATTCCGAGAACACAAACCTCAACCATCCCCTGGTAAGGTAGTCAAGGGTACCACTTAAACCGCTAGTATCGCGTTGTTAATGGTATCATTATCCGCTGACACCTGCGTACCAGATCGATCCTTTACCACATCCCCAGTAAGGTGGGCTAGGGTACCACTTCAACCGCTAGTATCGCATTGTTAATGGTGTCATTATCCGCTGACACCTGCAGATCGTTCCTTTACCACATCCCCAGTAAAGTGGGCTAGGGTACCACTTCAACAGTTGGTACAAATAACGTTATTTGTGGTGTCATTATTCGGCTAACACCTGCATACTGGAATTTCAAACCTAAACAACACTCCGGCAAGGTGGGTGCTAGGGTACTAAATTCACCGCGGGTACAACGTTGAGGGTGATGCTATTAATCTCCGTACCGTAACCTAGACCTCACCTCGGCAAGGTGGGCTAGAGAAAACCAGACACGCCACCAAACAAACACTATTTTATTTAACAAATAAACAATAAATAACATCAGCAAAACAACAACACTGATCAACACATACAAACGGGCCAATCCTATCATTTTATAGGCACGGGACAAAATAAAAACAAGGGTCCTCAATATATAAAGTTAAAAAATTATATGGATTAATTGAAAATAATTAAATGATAATTTTGAACTTTGTAAACATATACTTTTTATTTTTATTTAAAAATAAACATTTTAGAATAGTCTTGGAGTAGTGTTCATTTAAACTTTGGACCCCTATGTGAAGTGTAATTATAAATTAATTCAATGTTCGCTAATATATATATGGCAAATTATGGTCCAGAAAGTGTTATGTGGACCATAACAAAAAGTACATTTTTAATATATTAAATGTACATTATTTTTGTATTGAATGTACATTATACAATATAATAGCCTTGTTTGGTAAAAAATTGCCCTATAGGCCAATTTTGGCTTATTTGACCACTATTAATTGTTTGATTTAGTTAAAATATCAATATAAATGTTTGGTTAATTAGCTTTTTGCAACTCCAAAAGACTAAAATTCAAAATGCTACTCCAAGCAACTTTTTCAATTAGCTTTTTGAGAAAAGAAATTATATCAAACAGCTATCAGCTAACAGCTAATTTACCAAACACTTTTGTACAATCAGCTAATGTTATCAACTATTTATACCCTCTAATTAACACAATCAGCTAATAGCTAACAACTATCAGCTAACAGCCATTTTACCAAACAGGGCCAATATATATTCAGTACACAAATAATATACATCCCCTGAATATAATGTACATTATTTTTGTATTGAATGTACATTATTTTTGTACTGAATGTACATTATTTTACAGTATACAAAATATGATCCACACAACTTGTGTGAATCATGATTGAATATATATCTATTAACTAAGATAAGTATATCCAAATAGTTGTAATTGTTAAGCACATTTAAAATTAATAAAAATTACATAATACAAGTAATGTTAAAAATGTAATAATAATATTCTTAAACTCAGTTTGTTAGGTACTAAAGTTTTTTTAGTTAAACGGTTAACCACCTGTTGTCTGTTGTAAGATTAATCAGTAATAATCTCCATTTTGGCCATTGACCATTTCTCCATAGAATTACTCATTTTCTCCCTCTAAATCGTGAAAGACAGAGAGAAAGGCTTCTTCTATACATCGAAAGTATCATCTGATCTCTGCGCTATGGAGAATACACGCGTTGTACCGTACGATGTGCTGGACGGCTTGGCTCGGTGGTTCGGCTCCAGCGTGGCGGCCGCCTTCTTCTCGTCGCTGGAGCGTTTCTCGTGTGTCAACCTCACCACCTACGACACCGACGAGGAGGAGATGGAGGAGGAGGAAGACGAAGAGTCCAAGGACGGCTCTTCTCACGCTGGCCCTAACGCCGTTGCCGTTATCACCGATAACAACCAAACCTGACGACTTTTCGATCCGGTAAATCAGTAATCCTCCGTTTCTCTTTCCGTCAATCATCGATGTTGCTTTGTCGGTGGAGAGGACTGTTCTGCGTATAGAATCGCAACAATTTTCAAATAGAATTGTTGACGTTGTGATTTTTTATTTTTTTATTTGTTATCGCCATTGCAGTATCTAGCTTGATGTTTGGTTTGTAGGATCTGATTCTTTCATCTTTTGAATAAGAGAAAATAAATTGAGTTAGGAGAAAATCAACCCACCAATTTTGACCAATTAGTGTTTGATAAACAATATTATTGGGCTGTATAGCAAAGTGCACTATAGATATACTGCAGAGCTGACACAATTTGTCTCACAACTCACGGGGCAATAAATTGCCCTTGCACTTTGAATGAAGCCTCTTCACCTCAATCGTTAGGTTCACAGTGCACTGTGTATCCTGATCTTATACGATGCTTTAAACTTTATTTTAACGAAGTCTGTTTGTTATTCAGATCAATTCGCGTTATATAGACTTTTTTATATATTTTTTTACGCATATGTATGTATATCGTGTTATGCGTTTCTTACGAAATTCTATACCTTAAGCATAAAGATTATGTACATGATATTGATTAATAATGGTATAACACAAAACATATTATGTGTATTATTTAACGAATTTATGTCTTGTATTATGAAATTATGTGCCTATAGGACATAAGTTATTTACATAAATCAGATTTGAAAATAAGTAGAATAGAAAATATGTGTTCTTTTCAATAAATAATAAATAAATAGAAAACATGTGTATGTATATTGTGTTATATGTGTTTCTGTACATCATGTTACGAAATTCTTAAGCATAAAGATTCTGAACATGAAATGAAATTAATTAATACTCCGTAGTAGTATAACACAAAACATATTGTGTGTATTATTTAACGAATTTATGTCTTGTATTATGAAATTATGTGCCTACAGGACATAAGTTATTTACATAAATCAGATTTGAGAATAAGTAAAATAGAAAACATGTATTCTTTTCAAAAAAAATAATAATAATAAATAGAAAACATGTGTATGTATATCGTGTTATGCGTTTATGTACATTATGTTACGGAATTCTTTACCTTAAGCATAAAGATTCTGAACATGAAATGAAACTAATTAATAGTTGTATAACACAAAACATATTGTGTGTATTATTTAAAGAATTTATGTCTTGTATTATGAAATTATGTGCATATAGGACATAAATTATTTACATAAATCAGATATGAGAATAAATAAAATAGAAAACATGTGTATGTATCTCGTGTTATGTGTTTCTGTACATCATGTTACGAAATTCTGTAGCTTAAACATAAAGATTTAGTAAATAGAATAAATTAAATTTTGTGTTTAAACATGATAAACGGAAAGTTACAAAATCTGTTAAAACTAAAAGGAATAAGGGTTAAATAAGTCGCCAAGTACCTTGTGCACAGATGGCACCAGGGTTGGATTCCAATGTGGGAAGTTGTGAGTTCAAGCCTCAATTGGATCCTTGCTGATGTGGAGGTTATCAGGTTAAAATTATAATTTTTTTTTATTTTATTCTAATAATTTAAAATAACAAAAAAAAAAAACAAAAAAAACAAAAAAAAAGGATTGCCACTTCGTCTCCTGGCTGCCGGAGACGAAGAACCATTCTTCGTCTCCGGTAGCCTGGAGACGAAGAAGGGCTCTTCGTCACCAGGCTGCCGGAGACGAAGACGGCAACGGAGACGAAGCGGAAAACGGTTTTTCCTTTTTTTTTTTTAATTTAGTTTTGTTATTTTAAATTATTAAAATAAAATAAAAAATTATTATTTTAATATGGTAACCTCCACATCAGGTAAGCAAGTTATTTGTGGCTAAATTGTAACATTTTGCGTTGTTCAATGACACAATTGCACTTTTTTTAGTTCAATGGTCTGATTACATTCTTGTGTGTAGTTCAATGGCCTATTTAAACATTATTCCAAATTAAAATATCAAACGATGTCGTTTTAATCCAAAGTCCACCATGCTACGGGAATCCTGATCCACAATATAAATTGCCTCTTCACCTCATAAAACGTGGCTCGTGCTACCTCCTCTGCTAAGAGGCTCGCTCCAGCCCTTAGGAAGCCTATACCAACAATCTATATTAACAGCCAAAACCAATAGCCCTTTTTCAAATGAAAGCCCAATTAGAGGTAAAGAATATGATTTCTTCCTGGTAACACACCTAGAAACACTTCTAGCGCAAATTATGCTATGCAACCGTGTCTACTATGTATGGTGCACACGGTTGTAAAAACGACGTTGTTTTGACTAAAAACGCGCGTCTCACTTTTTTTTTAAAAAAAAAAAAATCAGGTCCGATTCCCGGCAATAGTATTTTTTTGTGCATAATTTGAATTATATATCCACAAATTCATAACTATATACCCACAAGTTCATAACTATATATCCACAGTAAATGAATAACACAAAATTTAGAATGAATAAACTAAATATCCACAATGAATGAACTAAACATCCACAATGAATGAACTAAATATCCACAATGAATGAACTAAATATCCACAAATTCATAACTATATATCCACAAATTCATAACTATATATCCACAATAATTCATAACTATATATCCATAATAATACTGTTGAGGAGAATCGAAACTGAATTTTTTTTTTAAATGAGAAGCGCATTTTTAGTCAAAATAACGTTGTTTTGCAACTGTGTGCACCATGCATAGTGCACACGGTTGCACAGCATAACTATTGACACTTCTAGCCACCCTAAAGATTATTCTAGACACAAAGGGCTCCACCTCTATATCTAGAGTATGTATAAACCTAATCAAGATTCTTCTTTCTTTAACCAATCCATGAAAATATTTTGTATTTCTCTCACCATCTACAACCCGCTGTGAATTGAATGTACTTTTTGTTGCCAATATTTCTCTTCAATTATAATCTGCCTTTGCAATTCAGTTTCTACTTCTTTTTTTAATATAAAACCATGTTTTCTTCTGAGGAATTTGTTTGGATATTATCTTCCAACTTCTTAGTCTTTAATTTGTTTGTTTTTCTGTGCTAATAAATATATACATTATAATTCAATAGTTGCACACTACATTGTTATTCAACAAAATTACTATTACTAAACTTATGTTGAATACAATTACCTAACACTGTTATAATTCTATTACTATTTAATAAATTCTAATATTAATGACCAAATAAATAAAAATTATAATGTACCCTTATAATTACCATATATTGATTAAATAAAAATCATACATTAACTATTTTTTAAAAATAATTTTGTACCAATTCTCTTTATAACTTTGTACATTATACTAACCCAAAATTCTTTAATTATCATTTTTCAATTTAAATATAATTTTCTATATATAAATAGAAATATTACAATAATACGGAGTAATTACTTATTCCCTTATAAGTAATAATTAAACACTCTATTTCTAATTAGTATTACATTTTTCAATATAAGTATTATTTTTTTTGGTTGCTCAAAGGTATCCCTCCAGCCGAAAGCCAGAAGACTAATCCCCCGTCCCTACGGTCAGCACACTAAGTGGTAGGGGACTGGCCAACTGGTTTGCTCCATTCACATGGATGGGGATCAAACCCCCAATCTCATGTTTAAGGGACGAGGTGCTGAACCACCACGCCAACCATGTTAGTTTCAATATAAGTATTATATTTTCATATTGATCCGACTCGACGCATCTCATAGAAAATGATCCGTGAGACAGATCCATACAAGTGTGACCCTATTTATTGTGGTGAGTGTAGAGAAAATCTAACAAACCCTATCCTTTTGGATAATTCCTACATTTAATTTAAGTGTTTAAATTAAATATGAGGAATGTATCGGGACACCATCACGTGGGTTCATTATTTCATAACTTCAAATAATGTCAAATTATCCAAATTTCTTCAAAATGATATAATCCACATATAATTGGCAAATTATTGTGTGGACCATAACATAAAGTACATTTTTAATATACTAAATGATCATTATTTTTGTACTGTATGTACATTATACAATATAATGTACACTCAATACAAAAATAATATACATCCCATAAATACAATGTACATTATTTTTGTATTGAATATACATTATTTTTGTACTGAATATACATTATTTTACACTATACAAAATATGGTCCACACAACTTGTGTGGACCATGGTCCATACAACTTGTGTGGACCATGGTCCACACAATAATGATTGCATATAATTTTGATGGGCCAGAATAAGTCAAACCCGTTAATTATGAAGTCCAATTAATGCAAACGGTTTGGTAGTCCAAGTTAATTAAATATTCCACAGTCTTGGACCAAACAATCCAACATCCAATTACCCTTAATTAAATAATTAGACCAATTAAATATTTATAGGGTCATTTAATCCAATCGTCATGCTGTGCATCCGTATGCACCATGCATGGTGCATACGGATGCCAAAACGACGTCGTTTTATTAAAAAACGCGTGTCTCCCTTTTAAAAAAATTCAGGTTCGATTCCCAGCAACAACATTATATTGTTCATTCATTCTGGAATTTTAGTTCATAGATTATGGAATTATAGTTCATTGATTATGGAATTATAGTTCATCGATTATGGAATTGTAGTTCATCGATTCTGAAATTTTAGTTTATAGATTATGGAATTTTAGTTCATTCATTCTGGAATTTTTAGTTCATAGATTAGATTATGGAATTATAGTTCATCGATTATGGAATTTTAGTTCATATGTTGTTGCTGGGAATCGAACTTGATTTTTTATTTAAGGGAAGACGTGCGTTTTATTAAAACGACGTCGTTTTTGCATCCGTATGCACCATGCATGGTGCATACGGATGCACAGCATAATTTGCCCATTTAATCAATCTAATTAAATAAATATTAATCTAATTAGCCCAATTAAAATAATTAATTTCGCAACCAATTATTCATCAAGACCAATAACACAAATCACTCCACTTCAAATTCCAATGCTTACAAAAACCATTCAAAATAACTATGTGCCCAAGTGTGCGCATTTTATGTATTATCAATTATAACAAATTTTAGTGAGTGAAAAAACATTTTAGAATATTTTTATCAAGGTAGAACATTCTAAATCATTAAGAGTACTATTAAAATATTTTCAAAGTTAAATTTACTACCTTGTATTAGGCAAATCATGTCCATTTACTAATGAAATAAATGACTATATATATACATTGTTAAATATGTATAGTTTAATGAAAAGTTAGTTTACGTTTTAGATTTAGATTCAAGTCTTGTTACTTTATCGATATACTATCAATTACTTTATTATATAAACTTAACAACAAATAAAGAAAATAATATTTATTATTTTGTAAATCAATAAAAAGTTTATAATACAAGTAATGTTAATAGGTAATAAAAAAATTCTTAAACACCATTTTTAGGTATTAAAGTCACTACTACAGAATTCGCATACAACGTCGGGCCTTTAACATCGGCTATACGGCTATATATATAGCCGACGTTAAAGAGTTTTTAATTATTTTTTATTTATTAAATTTATAACGTCGGCTACCTATTAACAAATAGCCGTTATAAATAAAAATAAAAAAAATAAAATAAATAAATACCCTACGACGTCGGCAATCTGTCCAGCCGACGTCGTAGGGTATATTTTTATTTTTTTAAAAAAAATAATTTAGATATAACGTCGGCTAAACGTTATTAGCCGACGTTAAATCCTAAACCCTAAACCCCGTGGCTCCCACCCGCACACCGCGGCCCAAAGACGTCGCTTGCCGCCGCTGCCGCTCCGCCACACACAGACGCGCTACCCAGCCTCCCCACCGTCTGCTGCACTACCGCACCGCTGTCCGCTGCTCCCCCGTCGTCCGCCTCTTCGCCGCCGTTGAAGGTAATTTTTTTAATTATTATTAATTAATTCGAATTTTAGTAAATATAATTATATTTTAGGGTTTATTTGAAATTATTATTAATTAATTCGAATTTTAGTAAATATTAATTATATTTTAGGGTTTATTTGAAATTTATAGTGCGTGTTGGATTTGGAGATGATGAGTAAAGATGCCAATTTTTTGTTATGATGTCTGTATATGTGATGTGGAATAATAGATTAATCTCATTAATATAAACTGAGATGGTGAGATGTAACAGTTCATACTTTTCTGGATGGGCAACTCTAAGAGAGAGTTCAGAGTACTGGTGATCTCTTGTGAACTAATGCATTTTTAGTATCTTGTTTGTGGGTTATCGTTCTTGGATGCATATTTTGATACTGAGAAGAAATCTGTATGATTTTCACTGGCAAATCATTAGTCCAACAGCTGAATTTGTTTGTGAGCTGTGTCATATTATTCTTAATCAAATGATAGGTGTGGTACACATTTGATGGATATAATAAATGATTCAAAATATATTTTTTCTTTAAAATTCGTGTTTCCAACTTAGAACAGTTTGCGACTTGCTTTGTTTCTAACTAAGAAAAATTCAATATTTCATACTCTAGTCTGATAGTTGTTGAACATTTCTGATCATATGATCAGGGAATAGTAAGATGAAAGTAAAACTAATTCTAGTTTTACATCAGAAATGCCATTACTTCAAAATGTTAGGCATACAACAAATAATAACATTTATTACTTGTGTTTTTGAAATTTAAGTAGTTATGATGTTGTTAAATCCATAAGATTTGGAAGATACATTTCCCTGTTGTGAAAGGACTCGTGAGTCTGTTAAATATGTGAGATAGAACGCTCTACATTTGCATTTTCTGTTGGCTTCATTTCCTACTGTAAAGAAATTGTTTAGTCTTGATCACTGTCTGGCAATTATTCCATTTATCCAGGAACAACTCAGGCTGATTCTTAGGGGACAGGCATCAATTTTTGATTGGTCAAGATCAACTTCATTGGCAAGGACGTTGTCTCCGCGAGTTTTGGAAAGCCAAGTTGATGCCAAGAAGGTATGTTTCACCCACACCCTCCTTCCCCCTTACCCCTCTCCTTGCCTCTCTTCTTATGAGATAAAGTATTTACCACTCAGACGTTCAGAATAATAGTTTATTTCTGGTGTCAACTGTCACATATTAGAGAAATAGAAAAGAAGTTTGTGCCTTTGTGGTGTCAACTTCCTCAATGGTTCAGTAAGTTCAGTGGAGGCTTACTGGAAATGTTATTGCTAAATTGAAAATAAGTAGGTTTAGTGTGCTGAACTAAAGTTGCTTAATAAAACTCATATTCATAAAATGCCTTGACTTGTGATGAACAGTTTTATCTTATATGTAATGCTAATCCAATTCATATAAGTTTTAACTATATATTATTGATTTATTTCGAATTTTAGTAAATATATTTGCATTTTAGTGTTTTTGATATTTGTTGAATCAATGTTAACATTTTTTTTGAAAGGAGCCTGTACGGCATTTATTCGAAATAGCAGCTGGTGGACTAGAGTCCGAATACATAACAGTTGTTTGAGTAAAGGCAAAAGATGCTAAAGTATGAGCTAAATAATTCTCTAATCTAGGAACATAACGAATTAAACAATTGTCAAAAGTCAACATACTAGTCCTGCAGCTATCAATGGTGTAGCCCAAGTAAGACCGCGATGATCGAGTCGAAGATGATAGATATTGTTGTAGTACTAAACAATCCGTGAAGAGCTGGATAGAGTTTATACCGCGATCCCTCAACCATGACAAAACTTCTTTGCACGCTAGAGCCTCTGCCATTAGTGGTGTAAAACAATCTGACATAGGGGTGGTCATTGCGGAAATATATCCTCCTTGCGTATCTAGAATAATAGCACCGGCCGCCGCCTTGTTCGTTTGTGGGTTGTATTCCGCGTCGAAGTAGCACATGAGAGGCTCCACGTCTGAGGCGATTGGTTGTTCTTCTGGCCGCATCACAGCACTGCTTTGTGGCAGTCCGTGCACTGCCGGCACAGCAGTGGCGTTCACTGTCGTTGGCGGCATTATGGTCGGCATTCCACCCTGCTCCGCTACGGCCATATTGGTCTGTGGTTGTGCATGTGTGGGGTGCGCAACCTTCCAAGAGTGTACAGTTGAAGACGTCATTGCTAATATTTTCTGAGGCCTGGGTAAACATGCGTCCCAAACAGCCCCATTCCTCGCACGCCAAGTGTAGTATAGAATGGCCACTGCATAAATAATCTCATTATCATCTAAAACATTCATCAAATCATTAAACCAATGACTGAAAACATTTGTGACACTATTGGGAATTGGAAGGTGAGATTGTGCCCAAATGTTTGTTGTATAGCCACATGTGATCAAAGAATGCACAATATCCTCATGTGCAGTTCCACACATAGCACATGTTGGATCAATATCCACTCTCCTTATAAGTAGATTGTTTGTGGTGGGTAAAATATTATTCAGAGCTTTCCATATAAATGTCTTCCACTTTGGGGGATCTTGAGTTTCCATAAAACCTTCCATTTATCAAAGGTCCCTAGTGGTTGGGAGTAATCACCGACTAGTTTCCTATACCCATCCTTGACTGAATATTCACCATTTGGATCCCCATACCAGTACCACAAATCATCATAATCAGGTGACACAGGTATTTTTTTAATTCTTTCTACATCCTCCGATATGAAAATATCCGTGAGAATATCCGGATCCCAGGTTCCTGTTTGTTGATCCATTAGACCCATCACCTTTGCCTGTGCCAATTGGGGTGGTCTTTCCGTTTCTATTCTCGGTTGGTTTTCATCATGTAACCATGGGTGGTCCCAAATTAAAGTTGGATGAATGCTTCTCGGTTGAGTACGGAATTAGAGAATTTATAGAGTTTGCAAAACGTCATATTCCAAATAATGATGCGATGTTTTGGTGCCCTTGTAAGAAGTGTTGTAATCTAAAACTATTAAGTGCAAATGACATATATGATCATCTAATTTGTGATGGAATTAATCTAAATTATACAAAATGGATATGACACGGTGAAGGAGGAAGAGAGACTAGTACATCTAACATGTATGTTGACAACGAAGCAAATGAAGATGATGAGTCTGAAGATAGGTTGGATGAAATGTTCCTTGATGTTGGAGAAGAGTTCACAAATCGATCAAAAGAGTTGGATGAATTATTAAATGATTCAAAACAGCCTTTATGGCCCGGGTGTAGTAAATATACTCGCTTATCTGCTGTTTTGAAATTTTTCAACTTAAAAGCTAGGAATGGATGGAGCGACAAGAGTTTTACTGCTTTACTTGATTTAATAAACGATATGCTTCCAGAAGATAATGGACTCCCGAAGAGTACATATGATGCCAAGAAGATTATGTGTCCCATGGGTATGGAGTATGAAAAGATACATGCTTGTCCTAACGATTGCATATTGTTTAGGAATGATTACAAAGAATTGAATGCATGTCCAATCTGTGGGGCATCTCGGTACAAAATAAGAGAGCATGTTGTTGGTAAGGCAAGTTCGAAAGGGCCACCAGCTAAAGTTATGTGGTATCTCCCAATTCTTCCAAGACTTAAGCGTATGTTTGCAAATCCAAGCGACACGAAAAACTTAACATGGCATGTAGATCAAAAAATTTCTGATGACTATCCCTTACAACTTGATCCGTCGGAGATTATGCGTTTCTTAAGGATGGAGACGTTAGATGTTTCCATATTGCAGTTCTTTATAAGGCAATAATTAAGTTCTTTACTTATATTTGTTTATATAATATTTTTCATTTCATCTATTATATTACTAATATATATGATTGATTGTATTTTTGAATAGGAGTCTTTATGACAAATTTGATTTGGCATCAAAGACCACATATGGCTTCTTAGATTCACATTTCATTCAACCAGTTTCGAATACTATAGATGAACGGACAGGGTATATCAACGTCACCATGCAATATGGACAGAAACAATGCTATCTAGCGCCATATATTTTAAAGTAAGTTTTAATTGTTTCAAATAAAATAACTTATATATAATACACTTTTATTATATATTATATTTACTTACAACTAATACATTATTGATTTGTAGTGACCATTGGGATGTTGATGGCAATTTGTCCTCAACTTAATGAAATCTATTGGTTTGATTCAATTGGAGGCCATCCAGCCACGTGATGACATCAAAGATATTGTTGAAAAGTATGTGAACTTATAAGTATTAATATGTATAATTAATAAAGTATGCATGATGTCATAAAGTATTTATGTATACTAATCTCTTATAATGTTAGGTGTGTCAATTCAGCAAAGTTGTTGAGAAGCAATGGATAACTCGTTCACCAAAATGGACTAAGGTTTTGGTGAGTATTTTATACATTTGTAAAACTACATATATATTTTATTGTTTTTTATTAAATAAAATTTTAAATGTAATTTAATTCAAATGTAGTATGCTCAACAAGTTGGAAGTACGGCATGTGGATATTATGTGATGAAATACATGCTTGAAATTCTTTCCAAAGAAGCATGTGCGGAAATGAATAAGGCATGTAATTTAATATAATACATTTTTCTTTCTAATTTTAAAAATGCTAGCTTACTAATTATTTAATAATTATCAACTTTGTAGATTGTTGAACGAGTTGGTGGATCGAGCTACACTCAACAAGAAATTGATCAAGTAAGAGACGTATGGGCCGACTTCTTTGTTGATGTATGGTTAAGTATGTAAATTGAACAAATTGATATTAGGTTTTGATAATGTTAACTTGTATTATTAATTAGTATCAAATTGTGAGATTTATTACTTTTATTACTTGTTTCATTATAAATATTCTTCCAAAAGGATGAACACCAACCCTAAGGGCCCCATTCTACATATTTTGATGTGGTTGTGGTGCAATAATTGAGCAGGTTTTGATTGTGGTTGGGAAAAATTGAGCACGTTTTTGTTGTGATTGTGAATAATTTGAGCAGGTTTTTGGGTATAAATGGACAAATAAATTGTATATTAAAAAAAAAAACATACAACGTCGGCTAATTAGTATTAGTCGACGTTGTATATATATTAAAAAAAATGCAGTTTACAACGTCGGCTAATTAAAATTAGCCAATGTTGTAATATATTTACAAAAAAAATAAAAACCTTACAACGTCGGCTAATTAGTATTAGTTGACGTTGTATATTATTTTAAAAATAAAAAATAAAAAAAGTTACAACGTCGGCTAATTCGTATTAGCTGATGTTGTAGATATTTATTAATTGAATTAAAATATATATATAACATCGGCTATTTAAATAGCCGATGTTATATATAATATATACAACGTTGCCCAGAACAATTTTGGAATTTAGTCGACGTTAAAGGTGCTATTTAACCGGCGTTAAAAACTTGCATCCGATCCCATCCATATTATTCATCTGATAAATCAATCGGATCACCGTACCGATCCTTAGCGGCCATCTGAGGAAGCGATGACGAGATGGATATCCGCCATCTAGCTCAACAAGAACTCTCGCCAGAGGTTCCGGATGGTCGCCAAACGCGCTCGAGTCGAACGTGATTGCAAGAAAATGCAAAAAAAGATGGGAATACTTTTGTATGTGTAGAAGGTTGCCTTGCACTTTATTGATGCAGCTAGTCAGATTGATCAGCCAAGCATTCCAGACGAGATGAGCAGCAGAAAAAAAAAACAAAAACAAAAACAAAAACAACAACAACAAAATCGAAAGCGGCCACAAAATGTCCAGGATGCAGAGCCAGAGCCGTTGCCGCCCTCTACTAGAGCGTCGAAACCACCATCGCGACACCTGTCGTCGCCGCCTACCACCGGACGCAAATCGACGGCCAAAACATGTTTTTTTTTTTTTTTCCGAAAATCATACAGAAATTACGGCATATTATTGTCAATTTTTTTATTTTTTATGTTTTTGCGATAATCAGACATGGTCCAATAAAATTATACAGATATGAAGAGATGATAATATAATTGATACGCTGTCCAAAAAGTTTTCGAAAATCATACTGGCATGATGGTGAATATATATATATATATATATATATATATATATATATATATCATACCATATCAATACAAATTGCATATATATTGTAAAGCATATAATTCGTATCAACAGGATTTCAGAATGTAAATATACAATACTTAAGCATATTCTCTTTATGCACCACGTGCTAAAGCTTATGCTCTTTCAAGTTAAACAAAATGTATCAAGCATATTCTCTGCATAAGCAATGTTATAGCCAATTGAAATGTTTCATTCTCTAATAATTAAGAATGCTAGTCATAGCACATTATGACAACAAATAAATACCGGAAATATTCCTAATTATTTTGTGTATCGAACTACGAGGAAGTGAGCGTATCAAGCTCTAACTACTAACTTATTCACAAAAAATTACACTTTACATAACAAGTGAGATTTAATTAAGGGCATGTAATGAACTAGCATAAACAAGGCAAATAACTTGGGAAATGCAAGAAGGTGAAAAGTAGTATCTTTGAGTTAAATGTTTATTCATCTAGGACCAATTTAAAGTGAAACATGAATTTGGGTTTCAACAAGTGTGTATGGTTGCAAACAAAAGCATAATGAATTTGTATACAAGTTTTCCCTGCATATGATTAGATCAACAAATTTAATAACATCATTTAACAACACTAATAACTTAAAAGAGGAAAAGAGAAAAGAAGAATGGTACAATCGAAAAAAAAAATTATAAATGTACAAATAAATAAGTATAATATAATGTATATTTTCAAAAAAAAAAAAAGTATAATATAATGTATAAGCTAACACTACATTTGACTACATTGCTTTAAGGAGTCATAAAATGTAGCCAAGTAAAAGAGTTGCAAATCCTTGGACAGCAATTCTCAAAGACAACTCTTTATACATTACTCCGTACATTTTAAGGAAATTACCGAAATTTTTTTATGTGTTCTGTAAAGTTGTATCTCGTACTTTGTAGAGAGGTATATAAAAGAAAGCATACAACTTATACAACTTACAGAATACAAAATATATGACATTGCAATCCACCTTATTATAAAACTAACTTACATGTGATTAACAAAGTGCTAAACACATCACATGTTGGATTGGATTTAATTAAGCATCAATTCTCAATCTAAGGCAAAGCCTCCCTCACATCACTATAGGTTCATAATCATTCTCCCTTTCACCCCGACGCCGACTCATAATAACAGCAACACCAAGCACTGCAATTCCAACAAATGCTAAAATCAAAATAGCATTTGGTAGTATCATCATCTCACCACCCTGCACAAACCGAATTTTGGATTGGATTTAATTTCAGTGAACCGTTAAGTTTCAATACCATCCGGTTTTTATATGGTTTACAAGTGCTTGTATTAGGTAAAGAAGTATTTGTGTTAAATCACGGTGAGACTAAGAAGTTCTCAGAGAGTATGAGATTTGTATGTGGGAGGGAGAAAATCCAACCTTAATTTGAGAACGAAGGAAAGAACGAGATTCTGGTACCGGATCAGCAACTAAAATGTAGAAAAGCCCCATGACTCCGGTATGGCTTTGATGGCTGCTATAATTAGACACAATGGTCAGAGACTCCCCGTCAGCAATCTTGACCGTGCCAGGTTGAGGATAGCAGGTTGTCATTCCTACAATATAGCCAGATTCATTTCCCGGTTCCATTCCTTCTCCATAGATTGGAAGCGATGAGCATATGGCCCGTCCATCCTAAACAGGTTTAGCAGACAAAGTTTAAGGAGAAACACACGATAGAATACTACCAGAATGGGATTCTTTGCGAAAAATGGAAATTCTCCCAAACAATCAATGTATGAACTCCGAATGTGTAACAAAGGGGAAAAAAAAGGGTTAAGACGAAAATACCTCCCCGTAAAGAGTAGAACCAGTACCCCCTGTGTGCTGGTGTGCAACACCATAGATAACATCCCCACCACTTGGAAAACTCACACTTAATCTTTTAGTATGAACACATCCACTCTTAGCTGCTGCAGTGGAACAAGGCTCCACACTGTATTCAATCTGTGAATCAAGACAGTTCAACTAAATTAAATTATCTGATAAGAAAAGTTGGCTACTTGAAAGTACTGCTAAAAGCGTGTGGCTTTGGGCCCCACATGGCCAAACCACACTAAAAGACTGAATCCAACCAATTAACTAGTCTAACCCAGGGCCTTATAAACCCATATGTTCTCTCTTATTTTATCAATGTGGACTCTTAACAAAAACCAAAAACTCTAATGCTTCTCACACAGCAAACTGCACAAACACTTCAGTCTTTAACTATTATATTATATCTGCAAATACTAATCAAAAGTCAAGGTAGGAATTCTTTCAAACTATTCAATAATAATAATAAAACTTAAGTTAGCGTTCAATCACCTTGCAGTGGTGCATTGAATTGTACCCTGTTGAATCATTCGACTTTTTCCATGTATCGGTGACATCAAATATATATATTTTGACAGGCACAATGGATGGCTCCCAGTCGACATACTTGACGGTGTACTTTAGGTAGAGACTTCTCTTAATACTCTGAACCCCTTCTTTTACTCTGCATCTTGTCCCATCATAGCAACATCTTAAGCCACCAATGTAATCATCCTCGATAGCTTTTGCAGACTCATCCTCGGTGACATTATACAGATTGCACCGGCACTCAGTACATCCCAACCTATCTTCTACTCCTCGTGTATCAATTGCATGCACATTAAGCATCCATTTCTCCTCGTAGCCCTGCGGGATATCTGCTGGATTGCCAGCTTCAATTCCATAAGGATCTGGAACGTGAGTGTCAGTCTTCCTCGTCTCCGATCCAAGCCCAAAATATTGTGTAAGGGTACTGCCACAAACCCCAGAGTTCCTTGCAGAAATATAATCCGGTTCTTGGAACCCCATATTGGGGTGATAATTTGGAGCTTTAACACCTTGACGTATAAAGTATCTTACAACAAGCCAGTGGTGTAGATATGTTTCGTGAAGTGGGATCGAGTTTCCTGCCTCATCAACCACTTCTGCAACAAACTCTTTTATAGCAATGTGGCCTCTTGGAAAGTCGATATCGTAATAGAACTTGTTAGAGACTGATCCAGGTTCCAACTCAAACTTGGGGGATAGGAAAACTTCAGTTTTTACCCCATCCTGAGTTTGTATAGTTTGAGAAACTGTAGTCAATATTAGGATTGCCACTGATAGCAACCACCAATCAGACCTGTGTGACATATCTTTTTTCTCCTTTTTACTCTTTTCTGTAACCAAATGCCACAATAGCATATACTTAAAGACAAATTATAGCATATTCAGAAAATACATGCCTAAAAATTCCAAGTTTCTAACTGTAGTCAATCACTAGTGGGGGTAACCCCTGCCAAGTTTGCTAAGGATACAAACTTGTAATCACAAAATCACGAGTTCTAATCCCAGCACCGGTAAGCTATGGGTAACCTAGACAGGTTTATCTCCTTGTGGTTCTTTACCGACTAGCACTGCTGGAAATTATGGAATTTCCGACCACCTGAAAGTGATCTTAAATCAAGTCAAAAGCCTTGTTCCGACCACTTTTGGTATCTGAAAAAACCTTTGTTGCTATTTCCGACCACTTTTTGCTTTCGACTTGATTTAAAATCACTTTCAGGTGGTTGGGAATTCCATAATTTCCAGCAGTGTAGGGTTACAAGGCGGGATTTACTTAGTGCACAGTCTCGGGCAATGGCAATAATAGTTAAACTAAGCAAGAATGTGAAATACAATTTTTTTATTTAATCATCTTGTAATATAAGAAGTTATCCTAACATGATATTGTAAAGAAATGTTTCCAAAAGGGTTCAATGGATGGAGGAAACTGAGACTAAATCGCTGATCTATGCACTTCATGCACAGTAAGAGAACAAAATCAAGAATAATTCTAAGTGATAAAATTAGAATAATAAATACACACGTAATAAAACTGATAATTTGTTGAGAATAGAAACAAGTTCACCAACAAACTAAAAGTTAAAAGTGAAAAAAGTATGAACTTTATGATAGATACACACATAAACACAGAAATCGCAGGGTGATGGAAATTATAGGAACAAAAACAGAAACGAAATGATAAGAGAACAGACTCAAGACCTTACATTTCTTGGATATTGGGATGAGGAAACTCCTTGTAATGATTGAGATAGTGAAAATCGAAGAACCCGCGGTATGGGTTGAACACTATTTATAGGAAAAACGGTATTTATACTCTTGAGAATATATATTTATGCTGATTTGGTTAAAAGATTATTATTTTTAACTGAATTTCTCCTAATAACAAATTTTTATTAATTAAAACAGCATAAAATAAGAGATAAATTGAGCATGGTATGAAAGAAGCAGTGAAGTACGTATGGATATGAGACATGCCACGTGAAAAGCACCACTGTTTCAAATTTTATAAAGAAATAAAGTTCAAATTAGCCAACGTAATGTGAAAATACAATTGGGTTACTCAATTAAAAAAAAAAGTGCAATTAAATCATTCAACATTGTAAAATTATGTAATTTGTCCTAAGTGACTTGCAGTGGCAAGTTATCAACAAATAATTAATTAAAAATTTTAAAAAGAAATTTAAAATTATTTTAAAACAAAAAAAAAAATAGAAATAGGGTTCGGAGATCACCAGATCGGGAAGCAAAAAAGGGGACAACGGCGGTGAGGCTTCCCAGCTTCCCTCCAAGAGCAATGGCGGCGACGGAACTCGAAGAAACACGACGACGAAGCTTTGGGGTGTTTTGCAAATCGTCGATTGGTTGGCGTTGCGATGGCGGACGGTGGGCGGCCACGGCGTCGACAATAGGATGTTCAGCCATGGCGATGGTGTTACTCCGATCTCCGGCTCGACTCGGGGTGATAGCGCTGATGGTGGTGTTTTGAGTTTTGGGTGAGAGAGAAGGCAGAGTGTTCAATGGTGGCGAATCAGTAGTGCTTCTGGCCAGGTGACCATGACTGTCAACGTTTGGCTCTCTCTCTCTTGTTATTGGTGCTTCTATTTGCGTCCAATGGCTGTCTTTCGACTCCAGAGGACCAGATCCATGGAGACGATCGCAGATCCTTTTTTTAATTTAATTTTTATTTTTTAACTAATTACCGGTTGATAATCTGCTACTATAGGTCATTTGAGACAAATTACATGATTTTACAATGTTGAATGATCTAATTACATTTTTTTTAGTTAAATGATCTAATTACATTTTCACGTTACGTTTGATGGCTAATATGAGCCTTATTCCTTTTTAAAATAACAATATCACTAAAGAGTAAAGAGTAATATACAAAGACAAAATGGCAACGGTCCACAGAAGATAAGGGAGGAGTAAAAGTCTAGAGCTCCAAATAATTCCAAAAAAATTATGTGAATTAATAATTAAAAATTGACCAAATAGATCTCTAAACTTTACTCAAAAATTAATTAGGCCCTTAAACTTTCAAAAGTTGTAATTAAACAAATAAACATGTTATTTTGAAGTATTGAAGCCCAAAAACTGATTGATGACCTGTAATTGAAGGTCACTAGGGTTCTAGCAAGCCTCAGACCAATTTCTGCTGACAAACACCGACAACAATCGCTAGCCGCGTTTGAAGAAGGCGACCAACTTGGTCTCATTCTCTAAACGTGACAGTCGTCAGTGATTGTTCCGGAAATTGGTTGGAGGCTTGCGGGAGTTGGCTGGAGGCTCGTCGAAACCCTAGTGACCTGCAATTATAGGTCACCAACCGGTTTCTAAACTTCAATGCTCCAACATATGGAGTAACATTTTTTAGGGTTTAATTGCAACTTTTGAAAATTTATGTGTCTAATTGACTTTTTTTTAATAAAACTAGTTTTTCTACGCGCTTTGCGCGAATGAGATAATGCCCAATGATTCTTTTTAAATAAATATTTCAAAGTATATCAATGCAATATTATATAGAAGATGTTCTTGCATATATCTTGAAATAAATATTACTGATTCAAGATAATATATGAGAGATTGATTATATATAACTGTCACAAAAATAAATGGAATAAGGTTCAAATTGGCCACTAATCGTAACCTGGAAATGTAATTAGGTTACTGAACGAAATAATTTTTAATAAATTTTGAATAATTTTAAATAAGTTTTGATAATAATTTTTTTTTTAAAAAAAAATTGACAGGTGGCCGTTGGCTACCCCCGTCTGTTTTATTTTTATTTTTTATGTTTTATTTTTTTATTTAAATTTTTTCAATTTTTTTTAAAAAAATATTATTAAAAATTATTTAAAATTCAAATTCAGCTGTCACGTAAGTAGGTAACCTGCTACAATTGATAGTAACCTTTTATCCGGTAAAATTGCATACATTTGGAGTGATCAGTGGCTTAATTGCACGTTTTTGAGTGTTCGGTTGCCTAATTGCATTTTCATGTTACGTTCAGTGACCAATTTGAACCTTATTCCAAAATAAATGTTTGCAACTTTGTAATAACGCTAGTCTAAATACTTAGTCTAAAAGCAATAGTCTAAATAAATACAACTTTTGGTTTAAATTTCTCTAATTCTCGTTTGGGTAGCATTGTCATTGTCTTCATCTTCAGTACATGTTTTTTTTAATTATTTTTTTTATTATTATTGGTAGTATGTCATATGCAATTAGGTTATTGTTAGTAGCATAGAGGGATTCATCATGTAATGAGATTATGGTGTAGGAAGCTTTAGATTTGCCTTGTTGTGTTTATGACTGGGATTTTAGTTGTGCTATGAACTCTTTATATTACAAGCACATGTTGATATTTGATAGTGGTAGTTTAATTTCCCCTACATGTTTCATGTGTTGTGAGATGTGTGTCATAAGTTATCATGTGAAAGTATTGAACAAAATATTAATATTTATTATATTTCTATAAAATACTTGGTAAATAAATAAATATATATATAACATATTTTGTATTATAACTTTGATATTTAATTACAAGATAATGTAAAAAGAAGACAATAGATAATGTAGTGAATATAATAAATTAATAAATTTGAAGGTAAGGAATCTTTGAATTATATAAAATAAAGATAATATAACTAATGAAATTATATCTCTTTTTATTTTTTTTTATAATGAATAATTCATTTTAAATAGAGGCATTATAGACATCTAATTCTAAATTAATTAAATGCATATGTATTATTTTTTGTTCTAGCTACTAATTTATTTTTAATTTAATAAGAGCAATAAAGTGGCGTATAATCATTTATTTATTTTTTTAAAGGGAAAATCAACGATTTGGTCCCTCAATTGTTAGCGAAATATCAATGTAGTCCCTTAATCACGAAATCATCGATTTAGTCCCTGGAAATAACTGTTTTTAGTTGATTTGGCCCCTCCGACCATAGCCCGTTGAAAATCCGGCGACTGCTCCGATTTGGCATGGGTAAATTTGTCATTTCGCATTTTGGTCTTATTCATTACCCATGCGAAGCGCTCGGAGACGGCGGAGGCGCCGGAATCGTCGTCTTCGGGGTGAGGAGTCGAGAAGTACGCCTCCGGCAACGGCGAGTTTGTCGACAACGGCCAGTCCGCGACGATTTCAGAAACTTCGCCGTTGTAATCGGAGAAGAAAACGAGGTATTTCATCATGTACCGAGTGAGCGGATGGACGGCCCGGCGGTTTCGAGGAATCCTTCTGAACCGCTGTCTCAAACTCCGTAAGCATCGCTCTAATGGCTTCTCCGAGCTTTAGGAGTGACATCACTGCCTGAGACCTCACCGCCGCGGTGGAGGTGAAGTCGAAAATGGACTCAATTTCCGGCCATAGCTCCGAAACCGCTTCGTAAAGATCCAAAAAATGGAACATTTTCTCGATGGGTAGCTTCTTATATTTCCCAACGTATTCCGCAAATCCCAACACCGAAATCGCGCCGTCTTTTTTGATTGCCGTGAAACACGACTCTTTGATGTCGTCGGAAGCCGAGAAAACCTCGCTGCAGAGAATCCTCTCTCCGAGGAAGAGAGTTGTCACGACGATTTTCACAGCAGACAGCCAATTCTTAACTCTCTCGTCCAATGTTAGCCAATCCATTTTCTGAATCTGGGAAGTGCTGGAGTTTTCCAATCCCAGATAATACAGAGTCTCATCCACGATGGATTTTCGGATTATGGTGTAAATCTTCATGCACTCTTTTCCGTATCCAGCTCCGATCCTGCATTCCGCGACGGCTTTCAAATCCGCAACCGCCGCGTCGGGAACTCTCGCCGTCGCGGCTCGACCAACTGTGTCTTCATCTTCCTCGGAAGCATCGTCTCCCAAATCTGAAACACTGGATTTCGTCGATGATCCTCCTCCGGAACACCTGGTTGAGGGATCCAGAAAGTAGCGATTTCCAGATAAAATAGTGTAGAACTCTTTCTGCAGCCTCTTCATGGGGATTTGCATCAAGTTATGAGCTATAACAAGCTGCTCAGAGCTCGAATTCTCCACCGGAAACTTTGTGAACCGCCCGGCGTCAAGAGTAAACCGTTTTTTTCCGGCGAAACCCTTTTTTGTTCATTTTAGAACGAAATGACAAATTTACCCATGCCAAATCGGAGCAGTCACCGGATTTTCAACGGGCTACGGTCGGAGGGGCCAAATCAACTAAAAACAGTTATTTCCAGGGACTAAATCGATGATTTCGTGATTAAGGGACTACATTGATATTTCGCTAACAATTGAGGGACCAAATCGTTGATTTTCCCTTTTTTAAATGAAAGAAAATCAAATGATTTTCAAAGTTCCTGATTTATAATCATTGAATGCTATGTATTTAGATGAGCTAATTATTTGACCAAAGTTTATATTAAATTTTATATTATATTTTTTAATACTTTGTAACATATTCGTAGTATATGTTTAACAATTATGTCAACTCTACTTGAGATGTGGTTCGATCCTAAGACATCTCTTATAGAAATTAATGAGTAAGTTAAGAATAATAAATAGTTAACGGAATATTCCGTTAAGCAAGTTTATACTAACGGAATTTAAGGTTATTTAAGGGAAGAAAACAATATAATAAAGGGTAAATACGGAAAATCATTAAGAAATACTAAAATCAAAATAATATGAAACATTCATTTTAAGAAACAATTAGGACCGACATTTTTTTTTATTCCAGTTAAGGGTCTAACATTATTGGCTCTTATTAAAATTGTAGATGTAGATAGATTCAAAAACTTTTTCCAATTGAAGCACAAAGAATCAACGCCTCCTCCACTAAGGCTCAATCCCACAACCTCCCATACTTAAGGGAGTAAACTTGGTATCATTGGACCACAAGGTCCTTGACATAAAATTCAAAAACTTATTTGACCATTTTCTAAATAAAAAATATATATATATAATAACTTTATTTGTTGGTTTGTAATAGAATGATAGAATTTATAAATAATCAATAAATATAAATATAATAATATTACATATCATTTAGCAATATTTATTTTTTTAGTACTACTGATTCTGTTAGTGTAGTATCTGTGAAGCTCAAACTCATGACCTCTTATTTGGGAGAGTCACTTCATACTTCTTTTTCGAGTAAATGTAAATTTTTATTTCAACCAAACCAATATATACAAGCATCACTAGGACATACCATATAAAATAAACAAAAGAGAAAAATTATTTTAAAAAATCACTTCACATCACTAGATTGCAAAGTCATTGGTATTTAAATATTTTATAATAAAAAAGAACTCAAAAATGATAGAAGGGTGTAGAAGGGAAGATGACGCCATGGCTTACGGACTCGGTGAGAAATTGTCCAAAAAAAAAAGGGATAAATTTTGACATAAATTGATAGTAGATTACTCGACGTAAATGGGAATTCTCAATGGAGAACAAAAAGTCAAATATTTGGATACACCGACAGTATCCAAACATGTGGAAAAAACCAAAAAAAAATGTTTTTTTTTTTTTTTGTTTCTCTCTTTTTGTCATTTTGTTTTACTTTTTGTTGTTGTTGTTGTTTTAATGATATATAATATAAATAATTATAAATTATATGTAAAATAATTATAATTAAATTATAATTTATTTAATTTGAGATTAATAGAT